TCACATTATAACGCCCTCACGGCTGAAAAGGCGAGCAGACCCGCAGATTGCGAGTCTAGCGACCTAACCACCTGGCTATGCCGGGCCTATTTGAAAGTTTAAAAAATTGGTTTACAAAAATACTGCTACTGTTAAAACACTTACCAATTTATTTCAATTTTCGACATTCAATCATCACAGTCTTCCTATGATATTAGCAAAAATGTAATGTGTAACTTTTCGTTACTGAAGCTGACCACGACATTTACTGCCCGCCCCCTCTGACTTTCAGTCATATTGTATGTTGGCTGCAGTAGCCATTACCATCAAGTTGCTTCGTTGACGCTGTGTTGTATTCTACATGTTCATTCGTTTGTTCGTTTTTGAATTTCGCACAAAGCTACTCGAGGGCTATCTGCGCTAGCCGTCCCTAATTTAGCAGTGTAAGACTAGAGGGAAGGCAGCTAGTCATCACCACCCACCGCCAACTCTTGAGCTACTCTTTTACCAACGAATAGTGGAACTGACCGTCACGTTATAACGCCCCACGGCTTAAAGGGCGAGCATGTTTGGTGTGATGGGGATTCGAACCCGCAGACTGCGAGTGGAGCGCCCTAACCACCTGGCCATGAGATTACATAGTAGTAAAATAGCTATTAATATTTCGATTATTCAAACTAATTAGATCATCTACATATGTAAACATTAATGTAAATATATAAAAACAAACAAACAAATACTGTGAGGCTTTATCAAACAGTTTGTGGCAAAGGAACCATATGAAACAACTGAGGCTTTGCAACAAAAAATGGTTGAAAGGTTCTGTTTGTTTGTATGTAATTAAGCACAAAGCTACACAATGGGCTATATGTGCTCTGCCCACCACGGGTATCGAAACCCGGATTCTAGCGTTGTAAGTCTGCAGACATACCGCTGTGCCACTGGGAGGCTGAAAGGTTCACTAAAGTCAACCCTAATATGCTGAGGAGGGTGTCACATTGCACATGGAGACGTACCATCCTATGTCATGAAAATGAAGGCCAACAGACAGATATTTTAGATCATTAATCGAACCTTTCGTTAACTTGTGTCAATATGAGGTATGAAAATATGTCAATATGCAATAAATTCTAGATCTAGTAAACATTATAGGCCTAATGTAGTGGTTTGTAATTGTATTGGCTGATTGTAAATCATGTCTTATACCAACTAATGTACTAGACTTTAGGTCTAATTGCAGTTATAACTTTATTTCTAGACCCTAGGTCCATCATCATACAAATTGTAGCCTATATTATAGGCATACTTAGACCTATACTAACTATTAAACTAGGCATTGCACTGGGACAGATCTAATGACTAAGTTAATAGATCTAGATGTAACATTTGTTCTAAAAGTTAGGCTTAATAAATCTAAATCTAGAATTGATGAGGCAGGGTTATACCAAATCTGGGTAGATTCAATACAAGGTACTTTCAATCTATACACTCAAATCTAAGGTCTAGTTTAAATGTATAAAGCTAAATTTCTGTCATTATTATTACATCTAGATCAAAACCTAAGACTAAAAAGATGGAAATAACAGGTTTAACATTAATGTTAGATCTAGATGTACTAGCGACTTAATCTAGGAACTGTAATATAGCATCACTAATTAGCTAGCCTATATTTAAGTTTTCTCATTCTATCAAAACCTTTAATATTAAATATAGCCTTTGAGCCTCTAGGCTTATATTATTCTCCACAGTTTGTGTAATTTTCATTCGAGCAATTTCA